AAAGCGTACAAACATAATAATAATAATAATAATACGTTTATTATCAGACCATTATGATCCATACATTGTGTTAGTAACAATCTTATACTTAAAAACTAGGTTAGTAGTAACATAAATCAGTCAAAAAACCGGTTTCTGGATCCATGCAAGTGAATATTAATCCAGTGCTTAAAGATGGGACACGATGGCCTATCTTTGATAACCGATAACCGATATAGCTTCAGTGCAATTAAGAACATTAGTAATTAAATGGTTCCAGATAAACATTCTGTTTACAATGATTTTTTTTTTAGTTTTAAAGACAGATTTTATAACGCCTTACATCACAAATATCTACGTAAATAACGCCCCTATTCACAAACTTTACCATGAGGTTTCACAGTGCGCATGGACGCACAGGGTGACACACGAAGCAATCAGAGAGCTCTATTGAACGCTGTGCGTTTGATTTACTTCTTCACATAAGCAAGCATCGTTTGTGAATACGGGCGTAAGTCCTAATGCATTATTTTGTTTTAGATAGTTTGACATTCAAGTGAAGAACTGTCTAGGTCAACTAGATTAACTTTGACTGTTGATAACTCCAATGTAAACTTGTAAGTTTTGTAATGGAATATACCTAGTTGATTTTAGGGCTGGGTTGCACCATCTTAGTTTAACATTGACAAACGTCAAAAATCTGTCAAACTCCATACAAAAACACCGGTTAATGTTATAGTTACGGTCAAAGTTAGGTGGTGCAACTCACCCTAAGACTTGCATGTTATGACCGAACTTGATATTTAAGGCGAACAATCAACAATTTCCAACTAGCTATTCTACTCAAGGGTTAAAACTGAGTCAAACTTAATTTTGAGACTTGAAGGTTGAATTCTTGATTTAGACTGACTAATTATAACCTCCAATTTAAGTGTAAATTTAGTTTGCGAGTGTAATTACATAAATTAGAACATAAATCTCCTAACTTTAATTGGATAAGATAGTTATGAATAATCGTAAAAGAAAGGTGTTAATATAACAGCATATAAGGCCCAGAACACACGGTGAAACGCAATTGCAACGAAACTGCAACTTCTAGTTACTTTTGAGTTGCATTTAAGTTTCTGCAATAGATTCCGTTGAGAGACCACACATGACGCGACCATTTCAAACCGGTTTCAAACTTTCAAACTGGTCGCGTCATGTGTGGTCTCTCAACGGACGCTATGGCAGAAACTTAGATGCAACTCAAAAGTAACTAGCAGTTGCAATTTCGTTGCAGTTGCGTTTCACCGTCTGTTAGTGTGCCCTAAGCTTTTTATCTTTAAGAATGGTTGCAAAGTTACGCGGACTAAGCAATGTTTTTATATGTATTTCCTAAACTTCTGTGAACTCATACCTCTTTTAATATTAGTATAAAGTAAACCCCCGAGTAAAGTTTTCATAACTTTATCGAGAAACTTTTAAACTGTGGTAAAGTTTGTATTCTCTGCTATTAAATCCAATTGAATAATGAATTGGTTTCAAAAAGCAAGTGACTCACGTTCAAACAAAGCCAGACCTTTAGAATAAAATTTACCTAGTACTATTGAAAGAGTTTTTCGGTGGAGTTTCTAAAATCCTAAACTGACAATTTAAAAAATAGCTTATTAATTGTTCGCTCCAAACTCTGCTAGCTTGAATTTTATTTTAACCAGTAGCTTCTTAAGCTTTTTGATTACAACTCGTCGTCGTCGTATGTCTCCATCCGTGTAACTGTTTTTGGGCATTATACTACTCTAAAGTACCTACTTCATATAACACTAGCGGCCGCCCGCGACTTCGTACGTGTGGATCCCGTTTTACCCCCTTAGGGGTGGAGTGTCGTAAAATCCTTTCTTAGCGGATGCCTACATCATAAGATCTACCTGCATGCCTTTCAGCCTGATCCGTCCAGTGGTTTGGGCTGTGCGTTGATAGATCACTATGTCAGTCAGTCAGTCACCTTTGAGTATTATAAGTTAGATTTTTATTTTTTTAAATTTATAAACATATCGAAGCTACAAAATCAAACAACAACGGATGTGATTATTCTAACGCAGTACAGAGACGTGTTCTTTTTATCAACCCTATCGTCGATCCGTCTTTGTTCGACGACGACGATGAACTATTCCGCATCGTACACAAAAATAATATCGAATCAGAAATCTTGGCTTAATCGGTGTACCTTCATCATACATAAAAAATTCTCTTCCTTTAGTTGAAGTCGGTCAAACTTATGAGTTTACATATGTGTAAAAAAGTATCGACAATAATGCACTAATATTTTTTCTGGAAAACAAGCCTAAACTTGTTTAAGCGATTTTGGCGCCCCGCCCGGCATCCGTTGGCACTACGTATCGATTGATAAACTCGATCCGTTAGGTAACTCACTCGAGTAATGGAGCGATATCGTAAATAGTGATTCGATGAGATAGGCATAGTGCAGTTTAGTGCAGTGGGTTTTACAGGTAAAACTGTTTCCTAGAAGTTGGCATAGTTAACGCCCGTACACAAACATTACTATGAGGTGTCACAGTGCGCGTGGACGCACAGGGTGATACGAACCAATCACAAATCTCTATTCAATGGTGTGCGTTCGATTTGCTGCTTCACTTCAGCAAGCATCGTTTGTGAATGCGGGCGGTACAACACGGTTGTTATAATAAATATCAACGGCGAGTACATCACTCACCTTTGATTTGCGGACGATATCGTAGGCATGGCTGAGGCTTGAGACCTTGGAAGATCTAGGCACAATGCTCGATGGCCCCAGTGGAGCCTCTCAACAAAGTCAATAATATTTTGTATCCAAATATCGTCATAATCAAATAACTTAGCCATTTTATTAATTGAATAAGTTATCACTTGCTTCAGGATGGGTTACACAACCTTTCGCTTGTCGGATAGTGTGTTTTCAAGTTTTAAAGATAACTAAGATGCATCTTGGAAGTAAATATACTTAATCATACTAACGGCCGCCCGCGACTTCGTTCGCGTGGACTCCGTTTTATCCCCTTAGGCGTTGAATCTTGCAAAATCCCGTCTTAGTGAGCACCTACGTTCTAAAAGGAACCCCCATGCAAAGGAGAACAACCACTTTCTATGAAGCGTTGGGCCCAGTACTAAGTTATTTGTACAGCTACAAATTTTATGTCGTTTTTATGCCTTCATAAACTACTTTATTATTGTGTTTATTTGAGGTTGCTAACTAATGTCATTCTCGAGAAAACTAAATTAGAAAAAACTAGAAAAAATGTTACTTTTATACAAAATCCAGTCGTCAGTTACCCAAATCGCTAGCAGAATCCGTTAGAAATAGCATAAAATGTTATTAATCGATAGTTTTATTTCTTCTTCTTCTTTTAATTCGTTTTAATTCAATTCAACAAGCATTCGCAACAGTCTCATCCTTTAGATCCTTTAGACATACTAATCTGTGGTCTCATCTGTGATTCGCAAGTGACATTGCTGCATTGACAGATGACAAAACGAATTATTTTCATTCATTAATTCATTCAATCATTTTAGTTTTGTCATCTGTCAGTACAAACCTTCTTAAAGATCAAATACACTGAATTGTCCCACCCGTGACATTGACAGGGGGCGCCACCGTCAATACCGGATCGCTGGTTCCGATTTTTGCCATGTTAGAAACTATATAGTTGAACGATGGTGGCGCCCCCCTGTCAATGAGTTTGGTGGGACAGTATAGTGTATTGAGTCTTTAATCGATTGACTTTTAACGTTCCATTTTACGTTATCTTAGATTAAATCATTAATTCGTTTTTATTATTGTATACGACTTACGACATCAGTTAAAATTATCATTTTTACCGTAAAATACTCCCTAATGTATGCGTAATATAATATCAAAAACCTACCAATGTACAACTCTGTACAAACTTGGGCCCAAAATGGTTGTTCTCCTTTGAGACTCCTAGCACTTGTAGTTTTTGAGATTTCGTTATGAGTGAGTGAGTCAGTCAGTCAGTCAATCAGTGACCTTTCGCTTTTATATTTTAATATAAGTAGATTAAAAAATAAATAAAATCATTATATTTTTAGTAGGTCGATATCACAAAGTTTTGGTATAGACTTTATACCAACCCATCTGTATATTTTTACTTTATGGTAGGTGTAATGATCACAATAATAAGATTTCCGTATTCCTGAAATATCAACGTATTTCAGATATGCTAATAACTAACAATAAATCAGACAAACAGACCTACACGTTTTGTCTTAGCGTAGGAATTTCAGTCTTTATAAAGTACTATTGATAACTTTGTTTTGTGAATTTAGAGAGAACTAGCGGCCGCCCGCAACTTCGTACGCGTGAATCCCGTTTTTCCCGCTAATTCCCGTTCCCGTGGGAATTTCAGGAATTCCTTTCTTAGTGCACCTCTACGGTACCTAAGCTACGTCCCTTCCAAATTTCAAGTGCCTACGTTTAGCCGTTTAGGCTGTGCGTTGATCTGTCAGTCAGTCAGTCAGTTTCTCCTTTTATATATTTAGATAAAATAATACCTACGATAAATCTAACTAGTATTGATCCAATTTGAATAAGCGGCTTTGTATTAAAACTGCACCCCGATTACGGTAACTTTTAACGTCTACAATCCAGACGCGTTTCTGATTCTGCAATACGATTGGTCAAAACAGCTGACGTACGCTGTTGAACGACCAATCGTATCGCAGAATCGAGAAGCGTGTCTGGATTGTTGACGTTATAAGTTACCGTAATCGGGGCTCTGTAAGCTGTGTTAAAACGTTACAAAAGACAGAAGATTCACGCCCGTTATCACAAACATTACTATGAGGTCTCCTAGTACGAGTGAACGCACAGGGTGACACACAAACCAATCACAGAGCTCTATTTGCTGCTTCATTTAAGCGACTATCGTTTGTGAATACGGGTGACAAAGCGTTCTTTGTAATAGTATACAAAGTTTGAAGAACTAATTTTACAATACGTATAAAATTATTTTCTAAGTATTTACCTTCGGATGGATGTTTGACTTTCACTTTGATTGTGAAGGTAATCCGTTCAAGACTGGCACAAAATCTGTAACAACAAAACAAAAAAATAATTTATCTGTACATACTTACAATAGAAATAACGAAGAACAAGCCCATATGTAAGTAAGTCAAAAATTAAAAACTATCAATACGATACATAGTTTTTCAGTAATAGTATTTCTTCAAGTACAAAATATAAGAAGTAAGATTTATCATTCCAGGTTACTTTAAGAACTTTTGAAATGACCTACCCAATACAAGAGTGTAGGTAGAGCATTGGTTCCCAAACTTATTTAAGACGCGTGGGGGTTTCGACCATACAAAACATTCTGCGCCCCCCTCCTCCAGTCAAGATTATTTATTGGTCGTATCGAGCAGTCTAGAATGCATTCTCTTAGCGGTCGCAGGTTTTTTATACTGTACACAGACGGCCCGCGCCCCCCTTTAAAGGTCTTTGCGCCTCCCCTGGGGGGCGCGCCCCCCACTTTGGTAAGTTTGGGAACCAATGGTGTAGAGAGTGTAGTGCAAAGTAATAAAAGAGTGTAAAGAAGCTTTTTAAAAGCCTACTTGCAAAATAAATGAAGTTGATTTCAATCTATCGGGTGAGATTTTCAGACTAGGTTCGGAATTAACATTACTTGCTTTTGCCCGCTTGAAATTAAGTTTGTCACAGATCGTCATAAATTATAGCCTATAGGCTATAATTTATATCAGGTTATATTTATAATATATATCAGGTTAACATATATGTTAACCTGGGTTATAAACAATAATACAGTTAAAAATCCGTTCAGTAGTTTTTGCGTGAAAGAGTAACAAACATCCAGACATCCAAACTTTCGCATTTATAATATTAGTAGGATGATCGGAAGGTATTTTGCATAATGACATACCTACTCGTATTATAGATTAGATGGGACACAATACCTCCATGATGTTACGGTTACATTTTAAACCATCCCTGGCATTTAGCGGTGTAATCCCAAGCTATCTCCTAAGCGCTCCGATCCTATCTGACGTCACGCCCCACTGCCTGATGACGTCACCGTAATTACGGTTCAGTGATAGGGCTCGATGGGCGTACAATGCGATAAGAGACATTGATAGTGAAGGTTTAAAAGTTGCATAGGAATTTATGCTTTGTCTATTTATGATAAAATTTTCATGTTTGTAAAACTTTATGACTGTTATTATTACCCTCTATTAATTGATACTGAGTCAGTAGCGGCGCTTAGGTATTTCAGCTCTTGCCAATTGTTGGTCTCAAAATGTGGTATTACGGCCAACTAACAAACATTTGGCAAGTGTTCTATTATATAAGGTATAAGGGCTACTGTTAAGAATTGGGATAGAAAAGGAATAAATGATACCCAGGCTCAAGGAAGGGAAAGCGATATAATAGAAGGATACAAGGAAGATACAGGATCACAGGGATAGAAGCAGAGACAGAAAGATGACAAGTGACATTAGTAAAATATAAAAATATAAAACCATAAACTATCAAAAGAGGCCGTTCGTAACATCTCTCCCTCTCTCTCAACAATGATAGAATATGAATATCAAGAAAAGAGAGAGAAAGCGGGAGAGATTGATACGAACGGCCTTAAGGTGGGCTACCAAAAGAGTTAAAAGTTTATCTAACTTTGTGACGTGACGTGGTGGTTGAAATTGTTCTGGCTTCGGGTCAGGGGGTGGTGGAGTCTTGCAGTCAGGTGAACAGATGAGGCGTCGTGTAGAAAGGAAGAGGCGTGGCAACCGTAAATAAAGCAGCGTCCAGCAGAGTTGAAGGAAGAGGCGCAGCAACCTTAGATAAGGAACGGCCGGGATGCACAGAGGTAGGCGCATCCCCGGTGGCAGCTCCAGATTGCAAATCGGGTTCACTTGAAGTAGCAGGTCTACCTGGGCACGCAGAGATAGGCGCGCCCGGAGAGGGAAACCTGCGGCAGCTCTACCTGGGCCCGCAGAGATAGGCGCGCCCGGAGAGGCAGAGCTGTAGATATGTGATGCCCGACTTGAAGGCGCCGTATTCTCCAACCATTTCGGAGTGTTAACGCTGCAGCGGCTGCCATTGGCTTCAACAGGCTACGAGCGGTCCCTTTCTGGATACGACGAAATTGAAGATGGCGAGCCGTAAATCCGATGGAGCTTCGGTATCCAAAGTCTCATCAACGACCATATTGGCATGCCGTGAGCAAGGCGTTGGTGATAATGACACGTCAGCAATCCACTAACTCGATGCGTTCCAACCAAGACTTCCACTCTCGACGACAGAAGTTTCCATCCAATTTTCAAAAGTAGTTACCGAGAGCCACAATAACCATCTTGGTATTAAATCAAAACCACACGTCGAAATTTTACTTTGCAAAAGTTAAGACAAATAAAAAAACTAGAGTAGCCAAAGTTAAAGATTAAAAATAAATTTAAACTTAGGATTGCACAGTTTGAAATGCCAGGAGCGTGCAAGGTTTACACACATTAGCTCTACCTTACAAGCACCTGATGAACTGATGCGCGGTTATTGAAACGAAAAAATGCAGCCATTGGCTGAAACGGAACGGATCCGTACACAAAAAAATATTATAGGTGAGATAATGGAAAATAATGGTTTAAATACCGATAATATGCAAATGGAAGTTGCTAATGGCGAAACCTCTTCGATTTCCAACAAAAAGTGAGAACTAAATAATATAAAGACTAATTCTTTAATAAATGAAACAAAAAATAACAATGTTTCTAATATTAATGGAAACAAGTGTACTAAGCCATAACAAATACACGAAATTAAATTGGAAGTGGGATAATGTGTTGGTTGCCCTTTAGTAACCAAATATTCAAAAAAGAAATAGTGAAATCCTACTGATCAGGTATGGGATACCGGATAAAACCAAAAGCTCGTACGCTTTGCTGAAGATTACTTCTATCTACATAATTACTACCTACAAACTTGAGCTCAGAAGGCACAAGAGCGGGTGCCTCCGGAATAATCGAGACCCAAATGCCTTTTAAATGCGCTCGCTTTTGCACCTCATGCAGCACTAAAGATGATCGAAACGGCAAATAGAAAAGATCGCGGCATAAAAAGTGTCGCGCGTCCTTGCCCTGAGATCCAATCTTAACCCTCCTGATGGCAATTGAACAGGAATCTCTATCCTCTCGAACTCGGAAAATTAAATCATCGTGCGAAGATAGCAGACCTGGGCCAGATAATGGAGGAGAATCAAGACTGGAAGGAGCACAAGGGACGTCGACAGCGCGTAATTTTTCCGGCCGATTCAAGATAGAGACACCGAAATGAGGAAGGTACGACTTCCTAGTAGACTTATAAGTATGTAAACCTTTTTGCAAACACCGAGTAAAAACTTTTTCCTTACGAACCCAATTCAATTTTGACATAATGTCTAGGTGACGAAATTTATGACAGTTGTCAATCAAATGTTGTTGTTGACATTGTTGACAATAATTACAATTTGGTTTATTAATTACAGATTGTGATGGATGATTATTTACAGATGGCGAAGAACCGATGGCTGTGGTGCACAACGATTTGTTTATGGGCCGTTCAGATAAAGTGCGGACAGGTAACAGGTGTTCCTGCGGGACACTGGGACCGGCGAGCAGGAGGGTTGGGTCAAGGGGCGCGACAACCATAGAAATGGAACGGCCGGGATGCGCAGAGGTAGGCGCATCCCCGGTGGCAGCTCCAGGTTGTCCTAAAATAGGCACGTTAACAAGGGCAGATTTACCTGGGCACGCAGAGATAGGCGCACCCGGAGAGGCAAACCTGCTGGTAGACGATGCCTGATTTGAAGGCGCCGTATCCTCCAACCACTCCGTAAGATTGCGGGTGCTGTGACGACTGGAGCGAGATCGGCTGAAGCTGGCTTCTATATGGGCGAGTTCCGCTTGCAGCTCAAGCTCACTCGCCACGGCTTCGGCAGCTTCTAACCGCGCTCTTTCTTCAGCGGCACGCACGCGTTCCGCTTCCACGCGCGCTCGCTCTGCGTCGGCAGCTCTGCGAGCGAACTTAGCTTGCACGGCGAGGATGCGTGCCCGAACGGTGGTCGATGAACAAGATAACGATCCTGTAACAGATGCCGCGTCGGCGGCCGCCGCGGGGGTGGTCGCGACTGGTGCGGGGTCGGGTGCGGCGGCGTGAGGGGAGCCCCGTATGGGCTGCGTAGCCTCGGCCATACCCGATTTATTACCTTGTGCTTTTCTTTGAGCCCGAGTTATCATGGCTGGTAAGCGAAAAATAATTTGAAATTTTCAATAAATAATGCCGGAAAGAAGGACCAAAAATGTTAAGAATCGGGATAGAAAAGGGATAAAAATGATACCCAGGCTCAAGGAAGGGAAAGCGATATAATAGAAGGATAAAAGGAAAATACAGGATCACAGGGATAGAAGCAGAGACAGAAAGATGACAAGTGACATTAGTAAAATATAAAAATATAAAACCATAAACTATCAAAAGAGGCCGTTCGTAACAGCTACCTTTTCTTTTTTTATTATTTTCTATAATAATATTTTGACGTTCATAAGTGCCACTTGTGGTCTAAACTGAATAAATACTTTTGATTTTGATTTTAAGTTTTTCAACATTAATTAGTCCTTTGAACTTTAGATTTTAATTTGTCTCAGTTTATTTAAAACAAACTTGACCTTCACTGGTTGGGTTTTTATTGGCGGTCAAGCTGTAGATCCTGGTTACACAGGAGATGCAGCGGTGGGGACGAGAGATGGGAAGTTAATTTAAATAACTTAAATATTTAAAATACGCCACCAACCGGCCATTATGGATATAATTGGGGAAGGCCTATATTTAGCAGTGGACGTCCTATGGCTGAAAATGATGAGGATGAAATATTTAAAATAACAGGCCCGAGAAAGATCTAAGTTCACGCAAACAAAGTGGCGGGCTCACATAGTTTTTTTTTTAAATTCAAATTGAGGCTATAATCTCAGTCTTAAAAACGAGAATCTTTGTCATCAACCAGATTCATGGTAAATCGATGCTTTTTAATGGTTTAGATTAAATACCCATTAATAGCCGTATCCCGGAGGATCGGTGACGTCAAAGACTCCCCTCTGATCGGAAGCCGTGGGTGTAATTGTTTGCTGCTGACACTATACAGGGGAGACCGGGGCAAATGAGTTACGAAGCAGGATAGAAAATGCGCCAGTATACTGACTATTCCCATCTCTCGTTCCCACCGCTGCAACTCAACTAATGTCACATGTCATGCGCTTTGCAACGGAGGGAAGTCGAACCTTAACTTCGAACTCCTTCTATGTTCTTCTGATTGATTTCGTTGCGGGTCCAATGACAGTTTAACTTTCCCCCGGGACAAACTTGACCTTCACTGATTGGGTTTTTATTGGCGGTCAAGCTGTAGATCCTGGCTACACAGGAGTTGCAGCGGTCGGAAAGAGAGGTGGGAATAGTCCCGTAGTTGCAAATAAATCAGTGCCTAAAGACGAAAGTCTACAAATAGTGTGTGCTACCAGTGATTATACAAATACGGCTCAGAAACGTGGCCTCTCACTATAGGCCTCATAAATCTCAAAGTTGTACAGCGTGCTACGGAGAGGGCTATGCTCGGTGTTTCTTTATCAGATCGAATCAGAAATGAGGAGATCCGTAAACCTACTAAAGTCGCTGACATATTATTATTAGCTCTTCGGAGGTTTTATTTTTAATTTGATTAAACGTTCCCATATTGCCCCAGTCTCCCCTATTACGAAAATGGAGCAGCCTTTGAAAATGCGTAATTAAACGCTGATACACCCTGGCATAAGATACAGAACAGTTAATAAAGTCGGAAATTATTTGCGCGGTTTCTGAGTCTAATTGTGTTTAGCAGTTGTTACAGTCGACAGAAAATCAAGCTAAGCTGTTTTCAAATTGAACCAGTAAAAGCGCTTTTTAAAAGTCTATTTTGCATAAAAGTCATTTGACTTTTATATTATTAAAATAGATAAAATTATTTAAGATTTCCGCAAAGTGACGCCGGCGTAAGTACCCAACCACACTACCCGCTGTGCCATAGTCGATGTATGATATAGTACAAGCAATGCAAGAAGAAGAAGACTTGTGACTGTATATGGTGGGTAATATCAGAGTAAATACAAATGAGTAGGTAATCTTCATAGAAACGTCCGAGCGCGGTTTGTATGTGAGCGCGCCAATACGTATGCGGCGTGCACGCACACACTGACAAAATTTAGCCTGGATTAGCGGTGAGGTGCGCTGAATTTTGTCAGTGTGTGCGTGCGCGCCGCTTACGCATTGGTGCGCGCTCACATACAAACCGCGCTCGGTGCGTTTCTATGAAGATGACCTACTCATTTGTATTTACTCTGGTAATATCGTCTGCCATACGTTGTGTATGTGTGTGTGTTGCTAGGATTGCTCAGTTCTCGTGTAGTATACCTTGCAACGGAGTTGACATAATTGATAGATCTCCTGTCAAATAGAGTCTTCCAGCGACTTTGCGTAATTTAGCTTGGTCACGGGCCAAGTCACCGGTTTGATTTTTTTTCTTCCAACAACTTCAAAAATGTTCTCTAGAATCTTAGGCTTGGTTGCACCATCTTACTTTAACTTTGAAATCTGTCAAACTCCATACAAAAAGCACCGGTTATCGTCATAGTTACTGTCAAAGTAAGATAGTGCAACCCACCCTTAGTGTTGGAAGAAAAAATATTTAGAAATTCAATACAGTGACTTGCCCCGTGGACCAAGCTAAAAGTGGGCCAAGTCCCTGGAAGGAAAGAAAGAAGAAAGAAAGAAAGATACATTTATTACAATGGACATCACACAAATACAGGCAATTACATAGACATGACAGTAGTGCATATAATAATGGAAGAAGAAAAAATAAAAACAAGAGTAAACTGAGCAGTGCCACCCATCCACCAACAAGATGCCCACTGCAACGGGACCCCACTCAGCATATGCCGTGGCCCACGGTGACGAAGGCCACGGCGCTGGTTTTCAGTGTGCCCGTCAAATACACAGATACACTTTTAAGCAAGTATGCTATAAAGTTAATTCTATTCTAAATTTTAATATTTCTTTCTTTACTCTAAAAATAGCACAACATTGTTCAAAGCTTTTCGGCAAAATTCGGCACCACTCGGAATATTTCGACGCTAAAAACACAATTGCATCTGCATTGTGTGGGCGGGCACGTGGCAATTCAACCTTTTACCTTTAACCTGCGTTTAATGTGATGAAGGTTATTTGATACCTATTTGAAAAGCTGTTAGCTGCAAGATATCGACACAGACTGAAAAAAAAATTGCTGCACGGCATCTTGGGTTTTTAAGTTACTTGAGTTGGGTCGGATATTCTGAAACTTAGATGTCTTTAGTGATTGACTGTGTGTGTGTTTCTTTGTGGAAATTATTTTAATTATAAAGCTTTTCTGATAAAATGATAGAGGTCTTTCGTAATAATAAAGATGATGATGCAGGGATACATTTTTAAGTATTTTTTACTCACGCCCGTATTTACAAACGATGCTTGCTTAAGGGAAGTAGCAAATCGAACGCACAGCGTTGAACAGAGCTTTGTGATTGGTTCGTGTGTTACCTTGTGCGTCCACGCGCACTGTGAGACCTCATAGTAATGTTTGAATACGGACTATGGCTTTGAAGGTGACGTTACGCTATGAGTGAGCCCTGTCAGACGTATATTGAGGCTTTAAATCTGACACCATCTCACCCAATATAAGTGTAAGGATACCCAAAGGCACAAACAACTAGCCTGACGTCAAACGGGGCTCGGCTTTATGTCGCAATGATCCCTCGAATAGATTTACTTGCCAACTCCGACGGTTACGGGGCGCTGGGCCAGCGGTTTTATTTTCAATGTACAAGTTATCTAAGGCTTACCACAGTGTAGGTGAGAGCAGTAGACCTTTTTTTTAGGGACGCGCGCTGGTAGCTTGAAGAGCTTTTCCAGCTTCACCGGGCAGAGTGGCGGGTACAGAAGGTACTCTAAGCAGTAAACCATTTCATTTTAAACTTTATATAGTCTGGTCTCTGAGCACGTAGAATTTTGTCCAATGAGCCCAAGCTACCCATCCTTATCAATCGCGCGTAATTATGTCACTGTCGCGCTCGCACACTCACTGTGGGCGTCAGTCGCACAGTCGCGACAGCAATATAATTAGCGAGCGATAAGGATGGGTAGCTTTTGGTCATTGGATAAAATTCTACGTGCTCAGAGACTAGCCCTTTACCTACGGGCCCTTGGAAACCCAAAGTCGCCTCTCAATACGGGGTATTTTAACCTATAAAATTGTTTGCTCCACTTTACATCAAGATATTTTAAAAAGTATAAGACTTACGGTATTGAAATTTGGAATATTATATTCTGCAATTAATGTAGTTTCATAATTACAAGCGCATTTTACACTTAATTTGCAATTTTTTTGTTTTTTTGTCGTAAACCGTGATTTAGTATTGGCTTTGCCAAAATAACAATAGATGTTTATGTATTGAGAAGTGACTTTTGACTTGGCAACTATAGGTGCCTACCGTAGGTAAGAGGCTAGGCTTTAGACCAGTGTGATTAGAAAAGTTATGTGAAATCAGGCGGCTTCGTTTAACATAGCGCGATCTTGTACATGCGACAATGTTAATTTGTATGAAAATGCTGACGGAACTAGATGTCTGACGCCGCCCATATAATTAATTATCTTCTGAAATGTATCTTTTTTAAAATTTCACCTCAACTAAGCATGCATCACTCAATTATGAGCCAATGATGTAATGACCTACAGTCCACAGTGCATCAGGTTTTACATTTTGTTTGTCAATGGTATATCGATACCGTTGTCCACAGTTGACCTACTGTGTTTCATTATACTGTGTCAAAGTTATCAGAGTCTAAGCAGATAATGTCGAGTCTTCTCGAAGTTCGGGCCTACGCCGCTAAATGCGGGTAGCATTTGTGTAATTTTTTCTAGGGATTTAGTAATCTCTTTAACTTAACGTCTGGTCATTTTTAACTTCAATTTACATTAATTACTTTTATATCAAAATTTTGTATAAGTGTACTGATTAATTCTATGCTGTAATTAGAACTTAATGTTAGAAGAGTGTCTTTGAAATTAAATAACTGATTGACGTAGCATCTCTTTCAGCTATTTTTTCTCCACCGAAGAAAAATATTATCTTTGGTTAAAGAAGCATATTCTTCAATGGTTTTGCAAGGAAATGTTTGTAA